CGGCAACGAGTGGGCAGTTAGTTTCTTTTCTTTTCTTTTTGGCCCCCGACACGCCCTGAAAACAAATGGCAGGCCCATGGTCCGTCCTGCACGGCTGCACCACAGTAGGTAGCACGTCTGCACGTAGCAGAGGCTCCACTCAGTTTCAGAAAGAGACGGCACGTAGCAGAGGCTCCACTCAGTTTCAGAAAGAGACGGCATTTGTATACGGCTCATGCATCGAGTGTTCCTGGACTCGGAGAATTGTTAACCGAATGATGCCTAGCTTTTGGCCTTGCTTAGATCGCAAGTTTTTTCGTTCTCTTTGTCGTATCAAATCTTTGACACATGCATGGAGTATTAAATATAGATAAAAAAATAATTAATTACACAGTTTGATTATAAATTATGAGACGAATTTTTTGAACCTAGTTAGGCCATAATTGAATAATAATTATTAAATACAAACGAAAGTGTTACAGTGTCAAATACTAATTTCTAACCCCTGTCTAAACCAGGCCTTTGTGCTAGTAGAACTCGTGGTTGCTGTAGTTCTCGAGGTTGGACTGCTGCTTCAGTCAAGGAACAACTGTTGAAGATAACGGTTTTTTGCTGTGGCAACTGGCAACGAACTTGCATAGGGAATACGGTAATGCTCTGGCTCATGCATCAAGTGTTCCTGGATTCGGAGAATTGTTAACCGGATGATGCCTACCTTTGTGCTAGTAGAACTCGTGGTTGCTGTAGTTCTCGAGGTTGGACGGCTGCTTCAGTCAAGGAACAACAACTGTTGAAGACAACGGTATTTTTTGTGTCAACTGGCAACGAACTTGCATAGAAAATACGGTAATGCGCTGTTCAGGACGTTCCTCCGGACAGACGGACCTGTTGTTGCCCGCAATGTCCACGAGGCTTTTTTATCCGCTCCTACGTGACACCGCTCGCGCCGCTTGCTCGCATAAAAAAAAAGAGTTAAATGCACGGTAGGTCAATTAACTTTTGATCGTGTGTTATCTAGGTCTATCAATTTTTAAACTGCATTTTTTGATCCATTAACTTTTGGTGGTGTGTCATCCAGGTCCATCAACTTTTAAACTGTATTTTTTGGTCCATTAACTTTCGGTGGTGTGTCATTCAGGTCCATCAACTTTTAAATTACATTTTTAGGTCCCTCAACTTTTTAATTGGTTCACCGTAGGTCCATACCCCTTTGTTTAGCGAATAGATCTGGCATTGCACGTCAAAAAAGCAGCCACCGTGGAGTACAGGACGAGATCACCATCTGAAGATAATCTTCAATACGAAGAATCTGATGGGATCACCATCTAGGGTTTCTCGAGCGACGGCTCGACGGGGAATAAACTCCACAATAAAATCCAGTCTAATCTACCCGGTACAAGGCCGAAGCCCACGTATATAAGCCTTGCAGAGCCACCGACTCAAACAAAACTCGAACTTTGCCAGCCCAACTAGGACCGATTGACCCTAAGTCCCTGATTCGGCTAACATGCACGGCACGTCCAAACACAACCACCAATTTGACTCACGTAGGCACTAAAAGCTAGATGTTAGATAAAAGATCGTGTGTCACAACTGGATAGGAAACTAATGCATGGAAATAATAAAATACTATAGCAAGGATGCTAATCACGTTGGGAAAATTCCATTAATGATCTCCACCTCTTTAGAATTAGTACTGATGTATTTTGTTGGCTTCATTTTCTCCTCCTTTCCATGCAATAATAAGGCACCTCTATAAAATATCTTTGATAATAATTCAATAGTTGTAAATCTCTCTATGTCCACAATATATTTATCCTTAAAAATAATAGTCCTAAATTTAAGACCAGAGGATATTAACGAATTACTAGCTGCTACATTTGAATTATTGCTAGACAAGTCTCCATGAACATCTTGAGGAGCTATGGACTCATCACCTACTCCACGGTGGCTGCTTATTTGGCGCGCCGTGTCGGATCTATTCGCTATAAACAAAGGGGTATGGATCTACGGTAAACCAATTAAAAAGTTTAGGGGCCCAAAAATATAATTTGAAAGTTGATGGACCTGGATGACACACCACCAAAAGTTAATGGACCAAAAAATACAGTTTAAAAGTTGATGGACCTGTATGACACACCATCAAAAATTAATGGACCTAAAAGTGCAGTTTGAAAGTTGATGAATCTAGATGACACACCACCAAAAGTTAATAGATCTACGGTACATTTAACTCAAAAAAAAAACCATCAACGCGCACTTCGCTTCGTACTCCGCGGCTGCCGCAGGCGACACTGCCGCTCCCACCCCGCCGGTCGACGCCACTGGCCAAGCACCATCCGCGTCTCCGCCCCAGCCTCCCCTTCCTCTCTCTTTGCCCACACCGCACGTGTATACGAAAACGTCCAAGCTATCAGCCTAGGAGCCATCAAGGAGGAGGCCCACGAGGGCCGAGGCGGTTGATTAACGTGAAGACCAAGGCAAGCCAAGAATATTTAAGATAGGCTTATCTGGACGATAGCTATGATCAATCTGTTACGCATTCCATGTAACAAACTAGGAATCCAATCTGTTAGTCCGATCACCCTCATTATAACCCTACCTCCTTTGTCTATATAAAGGAGGACAGGGACCTTGCGATTTGGGATCCATCTCCTCTCATTCCGGTCTACTACGTAGCTAAGAGCAACAACCCCTATAATTGAGCATACCAATACAAGAGCATCAGCAACACCACTTGAGTAGGATTTTATGTGCACTGCAGTCTGAACCAGTATAAATTCTTATGTCTCATCTCGTGTGCTACAATCTGATTCCGTCTACACGATCACGTTGCTAGGCATCGTCGGAGCTAATTCATCCGACAATCTCTCTCTCCCTCTCTCGACGTGGCCCAAAGCGCGACCACCACCGCGCGCTGCGCACGGCTAGCCCGATGATGTCCTAGCCGTGTGGCGTAGCCCCCCGGTGGGGTGGCCGCTCGCCTGCATTGCGTGCTTCCACCGCACTCTGCCTCGCTGCTCCTTCTACCAGATCCACTGCGTGATGAGACATCCGACGGTGGGGGGGATTACGGCGGCGACTACGGGGGGCTACGTGTCGAGCCCACGATACTAGCGGCTATGAAGGGGTCCCCGCCGGCCTCGTAGCAGGCGGAGTCCATCTAGTTGATGGTGGCGACGACACGGCTGCCTTCGTTGAACTCCACACGCTGGCGAGCCTCCATTTTGCAAGCAGCAAGGATATATTGCAATGTGCTGAAAACGCATGTTGCAAGTGTATGTTTCAAGTGTTTCGGATGTTTTATAGGTATGTTACAATTATTTCAGATGAATGTTGCAAAAGTAGATCAGAATGTTGCAATGGGTGTATATGTTGCAAAGGTCTGTTCCCAATGTTTCATCTGTGTTTTTGGACGTATTGTTGCAAGTGTGTTTATATGAATCTTGCATACATTTCATACATATGCTGCAAGTGTTTTAACTACATATTACGTATGTTTGCAATGGTTTTCATGTGTTTTTATAAGTGTTTCATAAGCATGTTTCAAGTGTTTTATTTGTCTTCAGGCATATGTTGTAAATACTTTATCTGAATATTTCAAAAATAGATCAGATGTTACATATGTTGCAATGCGCGTGAGAAGCAGAGGCGACACGAGCCATCCCCTCGCACGGTCTGGCAGCGGGCGGCGTCTGGGTGGCGGGGGCCCAGATCGTGAAACCCAGTCATAGGCGGGGGCGTGCTGGGTTTTGTTTTTTTTTTTTCGAGCGCAAGCGTGGATTGCTAGTACTGTAACGCGGGTACGCGGGCGAGGGCCTCGGACAGGACGACCGGACGCTAGCGGTCCCGTAAGAAAAAATCCGTTTGTTGGCCTTGCATTGGCCAGATAGCTTTAAATTGCGGGTGTATTTTTTACAAGCTCAAGCTCGACTGTTACCGTCCACGTGAATCTCAATCTATCATCGTGTCCGTATTGCGTTCCAGCAATTACCTGTCCCACGTAGGAGTCCATGTAGCACTGTGCTTGGCGTTTACTAGCTCAGTGAAATAAAAGATCACTTTAGTCCGTGTTTAATTTCTCCCCTAAAATGTATGTCCTATCCCATCGAATATTTAACACATATATAGAGTATTAAATATAAACTAAAAAATAACTAATTACATAGTTTACGACTAATTTGCGAGACGAATCTTTTAAGACTAATTAGTCCATGATTTGACAACGTAGTGATACGGTAACACATGTTCTAATGATAGATTGATTATACTTAATAAATTCGTCTCACGAATTACTGAAAATTTTTATAATTTGTTTTTTTTAGTGTCCGAACATCTCATACGACACCCCTATGACACCTTGAAACTTTACTGCCTGATGCCTGAATTTAAACCAGCCTTCCTATCAAAATCGGGGTGAAAATGAGCTGAACCCGAGCAAAGACAATGCCAAAATCTCGATCGGGGCGATGATTCCTTCTATCCCTACGAGGTGGGCCATCCAATCGCCATCGGTCACCAGAACCAGTCCGTATAAATAGCGATTGGCCCCATTCCAGACGCAGACATCGTCGTATTATAATCCCCTAGATTCTCAAACCTACGCCAGGCAGGGAGAGGGGGGCCTGCAGCAGCTGCAGGGCAGCAGGGGCCCTCTCCTCCTCTATAGTATTCTGCCACGCCCTCCAATCCCTCAACAACATTTTGAGCCACGCGACGCGCGACGCTGCCTGTTGGATCCGCCCGTGAAGAAATCTCTGCGTCGGCTCATGCACGCGGCGCCGGCCTCCCTCTTTGCCCACCCCTCTTGGCCTCTTGCGAAAATAAGAATTCCGGTTGCATCCCCGTCTCCAATCCATGAGCGGTCGATTCGATTTAAATAGGGGACAAAGATCGGGCGCAGGTGCTGGCACGCATCAGGTTTGATTTTTTGGTGCTATCTCCTTGTTCCCTCGGATTGTCCTTCTCGTTGTCGCCGCCGCCGGCCAGCGATACCGAGAGGTTAAGTGGGGAGGGGCATCATGGACTCGCACAAGGGGGCAGCAGCGGGAGGCGGGGGCGAGGTGAGGCGGATCAACGTGGTCTACTTCCTGAGCCGCGGCGGCCGGACGGACCACCCGCACCTCTTCCGCGTCAACCACCTCAACCGCGCCGGCGGCGTCCGCCTCCACGGTACGTTCGTCGGCCGTTCTTCCTCCATTTTCAGATCCATTTTTGCATCTACTACGTGCGATCGTCGATCAATGCCGCTCATTATTCTTTGCCGTTTGTGCCGAATCGTTTTGTTCGTTCAGATGTCAAGAGGTGGCTCTCCGAGCTGCGCGGCAAGGACATGCCGGACAATTACTCCTGGTCCTACAAAAGGTAGTAGTATATACTATGATGATCGATGAACCGCAGTGCAGCATTTCTGCCTTCCTATAAATATGACGAGGATTTTCTTTGGTTGCCAGTTAATTCATTTCTTTCTTTGGCTGTGTCGATCTGTATTGATTGAATGTTACTAATTTCTTGATCCATGTCGATATTATTCTGTTAGACTAGAGGTTCTAGTCTATTTAATTTCCATATATATACATAATCCTCCCATTATTCCTCATCACCAGGAAGTACAAGGCCGGGTACGTGTGGCAGGACCTGAAGGACGACGACCTCATCACGCCCGTCTCCGACAACGAGTACGTGCTCAAGGGCTGCGACGTCCGGGGAACACCTCCTCCCTGCGTCCAAGCGCCAAGAAGGACTTCTTCCTTAGGTGACTCATCCACGCCTGAATTTCCATTCCATTTTGTTTCTATCTAGCCTAGGTTTTCTCATCATTCAATCTTTTTGTTTTGCGGAATGGTTTTTGTTATTATTTCTGCGTTGAGGTTAACAATTCGACCCGCTGTCGTTTATACCAGGCGAGAAGAAACGCAAGGAGGAAGAGGAAGACGTGACGCCGTGCAACGACGATCAGAACGGCCCCGTGGAGGTGGTACTGACGACACCTGACTCCAACGAGAGCTCCCCGAAGCCGCCGCCGCCTGCGGACCAGGACTCGCCCGGAGGCTGCGAGTCGGCGCGCCGCAGCACGGCCCCGTTCAAGGTCGAGAAGCCGCAGGACCTCGACGAGCAAAAGCATCAGGAGCAAGTGGTGATCAAGATCGAGGTGTCACGGTCACAGAACCACCAGCGGCAAAAACACGAGGACAAGGAGGAGGAGGACGAAGGAGAAGCGGCAGCCGAGAAGACCGACACCAAGGCTGCGGCGGTAGAGGAGCAGCCGCAGGGAGAGGGAGCGGCGGGGGGCGTCAGGGGCCACGCGCACGCGGTGGGGAAGCAGGCGCGGAGGATGCGCGTGGCGCGGGCGCTCCACAACATGCTGACGTGCGCGCGCGCCGACGCCGACGACGCCGCGCTCCGCCCCCTGGCGGCGCGGCGGCAGGACGGCGGCGGCGGCGACTCGCCCACGCTGACGTGCCCCGGCATGGAAGGCTGCGGCCTACGGTGAGTTGTTGGAAACGCATATTCACGTCACGCGGCACACAAGAATCGGTCGGCACGCAGGCCGATCCAATTCGATGGCTTGGTTTGGTTAGTTCCTTTTTGCTAACTTTTGCAAGCGCGTACGTGCGTGCGTGCGTGGCAGCGTGAGCCGGAACCGGAAGGCGGCGAGGCCGCCGAAGGGCGGCAAGGAGAAGCAGCAGCGCAAGCGAGACGGCGAGAAGAAGCACGACTCAAACAAGCCGGCCACCCTGCCGCGTTGCTCGTAAGTGCCGCTGCCTGCGATGCTTCTGTTGTTCACTACTGGCTGTGTGTGCTTGTTTAATTTCTCGTTAACCTGATCGATTCGGTTCGGTTCTGAGTTCTGACCCCGTTGCATGCTGGTCGCTCGGTCTCGCTGTGATTTGGCCAATCGGGTTTCATTCATGTGCTCAATCGGTTCCGTTCAGCTCCGCCTGCCCGTGACAGCAAGGGAAGAGATTCTGATTCTCTTTACTAGACTAGATACTAATCCAGTAGATGGCGATAAATTGCCAGGTCCGTACTGTTTCATTCGTGGATCTTGTACAAGGTAGGGTCAAGTTATCCCGTGCGAGTAGAAGACGAATGAGGGTGCATTTTTAAACATTCAAATTTATTCGTAGATTCTTCTTAGGTTTTAATATAGGAGTATAGGAGTATATTATCCAGTGACAAGAACATATACCGATACTGACGTGCTAACAGCTTCCCGTATTAGAACCCCACTGATCCAAAACACATGGTCAGTCGATAAGGCCTGCTCACCTAGTCGACCAGGCTGAACGACTACTGGTGTACATTTCTGAATTTGGTGTGTCTGAATTTTGCTTGGCCGTGCTGTTCGGTTCTGCTCCCTCTCTCCCAAATTATTTGTCGCTTTTAGTTTTCGTGCCGCAAGTTTGACTCGATTTGTAGAAAATACGTGCAACATTTATATCTCTAGATAAATTTATTAAAAACTAGATTAAAAAATCTTTCCAATGATACTAATTATGTACCATAAATATTTATATTTTGTCAAAGTTGTTTCTCGGGAAGCGAAAATGATAGATATTTTTTGGACGGAGGGAGTAATACCCTGAGCATTGGTGTGTGTTGCAATTAGTAACAGGTTGTCAAGCAGAGATTCTCCACGTAGTATTAATAATACGATATGCCTGCCGTCTCACGTACGCATGTTTTTGACAACGTGGATGGATGCAGGCAGTGCGGGAAGGAGTTCAAGCCGCAGGAGCTGCACTCGCACATGCAGTCGTGCCGGGGCTTCAAGGAGCGGATGAGGAGCAGCACCAGCGCCCGGCCCAGCACCGACAGGAGGCGCAACTGGCCGACCGCCGGTCACTACTCCTCGGAGTCGGAGCGGCCGTCCTCAGCCTCCGCCGTCTTCCTGCTCACGGAATCCTGACGGGATCGTCATTCGTCAACTGAACTGATTGCTCTTCTAGCTGATCTCAAAAATGAATTCAATACACTAATGTTGCGGAATGGGATGTACATCGTGCGTGCGGATCGAATGAAGCGACGTTGTTAGGATCATTTTGTCTAGTTCTGGCAGTGTGCAGCAATACATATATATATACCTGTTTGTCTCGACATTTTGCTTGCTTCATCTGTGAATAAAAAATAGATGACTTTCTGTATTTGATCGCCTCTGCGCATCGATGTTTGGGTTAACAGTGTGTGCTTGCTGCTTTGGACCGTTCCTAAGCTTTCAGGTAGCCAGCGCAAGTAAATATAAATTTTTTAGATCAGGCAATAGTCACTGCTGTCTAAAGAAGAAGAGGAAAGAACGATGAAAGAGGGATGCAGACATTTAAAAGGCGTGGCGCTACAACTTTTTGGCTCCAGTGAGTGGAAGAATCTCAAGAGGATAGGAGTTTAATGCATGTGTGTTTTGATCTGTCTTCTCTTGAAGCTGGGAGTTCAGTGTTGTCTGGTTGGTGTTCAGTGGAGCTTTGGACATCTTGTTTTGTCACCTGTGTTTGTCAGGTTAGTCCGATTAGCGGAAACTTGTCAGGTTTGTCTGGTTGGGGTTCAGTGGAGCTTTGGACATTTTGATTTGTTGCCTTCTAATGTAAGGTCACATGTGTTTGTCAGGTTAGTCCGATTAAAGGAAACTTGTCAGGTTTGCCCGCCTAGCGGAAACTTGGGCTCAATCCCTTTCTTGTAAGTTTAAGCCATAAGCATTCACGGCTGAATGTGAAGGCTGGAATCTTTTTTCCGTAATCTAAAAAAAAGTAAATATAAACTCAACCGGTCCTTCGGATCATGCCATGTGTTTGTCTTGAGTTCTAACGGTCATCACTCATCAGATACGGTGGTGTGTGGCAGCGCAGTTATTTTTGCTAAGCCAACAGCGCGTGGAACAATTACGTGCATTCGTGTATAGTACTACAATGGTTCCATCATGACGTACGGTGCGGGGGAGTAGCAGCTACGAGCCTACGACGACATGTAGGCACGAATCGTGAATTCGTGACGGAGCACGTAGGCAAGCTACGGCCGGCCGGCCGGCCACTCTTCATGTAATTGTCGGCGGGGCGCGAAGAGAGGACCGAGCCCGGCCAGGTGGACGTCGGCGTCGGCAGCACGATGGGGGAGGGGCAGAGGGAGGGCGGCCGGCAATTAACCAGCGCGCGGAAGGCAAGAGGCAGAGCGGGGAAGTGTGAGGGATGCCCTCATGCCCGGGCGGCCGGGCCACGCCCACGCCACCATTCCTGCCGGCGCGTGTGGTTTCGGCTCGGCGGGACCCATTTTACGTGAGAAATCACGTAGCAGTTGCATCATAAGTTCATCATAACCAAACAAACCATCTCCAGAACCAACGTTTGATTGGCGACCATCGTTTTCTTGCGATACTCGAACAACAAGCAAGGCGGCTGAATCAACCAACAAAGCCACCGAATCCTTCGATGATACTGATGATGACTATTACTAGCACAAATAACACACCGGTTGGCGCCCGCCTTGGCGAGCGCGCGCACACATGTACTTGCTTCGTCCCGGCACAAGAGACCAAAAACTGACCATTCATTCAGATACTACCGCCCACGCAATCACCCCCAGCTAATCATAGCAAAGCCTAAAATTAAGACAGGCCAGCCAGCCAGGCAGGCTGTGAAACTCCAAAGCCTCATCCTCGTTTCCAAGGACCAAGGCCACGCGTCCTCCGCCTAAACAAGGCCCCGCCACCAGCTAGCTATATATGCCCGGCCTCTCCCTCCCGCCCTTTCCCATCCCAACAAGCCCAGCTCGCTAGTTTCGTGCTCCTCCTCTCCTCCTTCCCATATCTCGAGCACCGAGACCGATCGAGAAGCTAGCTAGCGAGATGGCGGCCACCCTCAGGCTCAGGATCCTCGCCGCGGCAGCCGCCGTCGTGGCCTCGTCGCTCGTCGGCGTCGCCACCGCGTCCGAGGCGGCGCCAGCTCCCGGCCCTGCCAGCCCCAGCACCGGGGCCGCCGCCGCCGTGACTGCTGGTCCGGCGCTCGCTATCGGCACGTTCGCCGTGGCCGCCGTTGGGTACCTCTTCAGCTGAGCTGGGTTGCCGTTGCGCGCGTCGTCTTCATCGCTACTTTTACTTGATTGTTGTTGCCAGTATTTTCATGTTGGGTGTGTTTTGATCGGTTGACGTACGCGAGTTGCCGGTTGGGAGTGTGCGCATCTTGGATTCTTGGTTCATGTAGATCGACCTGTTTACACAGCTATATATATACTCCCTCCGGTTCTCTAAAGCAAGTCATTTTGAGGTTGTCTTAAATCAAACATTTTAAACTTTGACTACAAATAACTTTTTTTGGGTTAAGTTTGAAAATATGAAAGTGATGTAAGTAGATTCATCTCGAAATGTAGTTTCATAAAAGTATATATTGACTATATTTTATAAATATTTTATAGCAAAAAGGTACAGTCAAAGTCGTTTCTTAAAGACCGTGTCGATGTCCAAAACGACTTGCTTTATAGAACCAGAGGAGTATATATGAAGTGATGCAGTGAGTTATTCATTGCGTTTTTTCTTGTGTGTGAGATAAACATGCATATTATGCAGCAACACAACTACACTTGAGCATATGCAATTGACTGCTGGGGGTAAAAGGGTAGATTAGATTGAGAATGGTCGGTATTAGCATATATAGTAGTAGAATAGAGATTTTAAACCACCGATACAAAATGTAAATCTACACAAACGAAGGGGTAGATAGTTTTTGTACAAACTTGATAAAGTCACAACTTATCGACGTAAGGTCTTCTTTTGTTCTAACAAAAAGAAGTGGTACAATAATAACAAGTAAATTCAACTGCTGTCAAATACGGTACAAAAAAAATGCTGAAAAATAAGTGTGTGTCATCAACTCGCCAATCAATCACCCTGTTCACTTATGCTGAAATTTAGCTTATGCTAATGTTTATGTTGAAATATTGTGAGAGAAAAACATTGTTCCATAACTGAAAAGTAGCTCAAGCGAACGTGGTGAATATTTCCTAACTCGGGGGCCGTTAAATTTGGCTGGTTGCCAGCCAGCTGGCTGATTTTATCTCTCACGAAATCACTATTCACGTCCTGCCAGAACAGTATTTTTCTCTCACAACAATCAGCCGGAACAGTATTTTTCAGTCCTGCCGAACAGGCCCTCGGCTGACCACCTCACACCTCAACCCTGCGACTCGGCAAGGTGTTACACACCCAATGTCCGTACAAGAAGCATAGATGGATCAGAATGACTTGTTAAAATCCGCATGTCCAGCATCTCTGCTGAGTATGAAGTATCCAGCTTTCATCACCCTCTGCGGAGTCCATGCGTTGAAAATGCTGAACCCTCAGCAGCAGAATTAAATGCATGCAAATTATAGCGAATTGGTCTTCATAAATCCTCTAGAAAGAATGAAGCAAGGCAGTTTCGTGAGGCACATGCATCTCTTCAAACGTTCCTCTACAATCCAGGGCCACAATGCCCGTTTTATCATTGTCAATTGCCAACTTAAGATGACCTCAACCGTGACTGCCCTTTTCCCTGAATCGAGAACATGAATCGAATGAAATGTGAGGCATGATAGCCAAAAGAAATATCTTCATATGAGTGCATTTCAAATTTACCTTTCTCCTTTTTGTTTTTTCAGTTTTCCAGCATGGAAAGAGCCCATGGCAACCAGGTGCTCTGGACTCAGAAACCCTGTAAATCAGGCATGGAAATAGTTTGTGTTACAAGCTGAAATGTACACAAACTTTTGTGAACCATGAAACACATAGAAACTTTTGTTGAAAGTTGACTATGGAGATGTATAATGCTAATGAAAGATGCTTCAATGCCACCTCCAAAGTCAGTTAATTTGACTAAAAAATAAGAAATTATGTCAGTGTGCTGCCCTTTGTAAGTTGTATGCGGCTACATTTATGTAGTTGTTTACTTTTTCTAGTAGCACTGCCAATCTTCTAAAGACAAGATCAAAAACTATTGCTGGATTCATGCAGATTACAAATAGGAAATATGTTACTTACACGCTCTCGTTGTCACAATTTGCCAAATGGCTATTTCTATGCAAAAGGCTTGGTGAAATGGCATAACCATTCTCCATCTGTACATTTTGACTTTTATGGGGACCATGACTGTTACTGATCTTTAAGGCCTTCAGTTCATTAGACAGATCCTTGTCAACATGTCTTGAGGGAACAATGCTGGCCATTGAGGACCTCCCGTGATGCTGACCACCATTTTGTGGAAGAATTTGATTTCTCTCAGGTCTAGCTTGATTTAACATACCAGGCGTGGGTTTTTCAGCAGCCTGGAGCCATGCACTCTCTAACCTTTGTTCATCGAGAGCTGATATCTTCAACTGTTCAACAGAAACATCCTGGCCTCTTGTTCTGTGCATTCCTGAATTTTCATCAGAGATGATCATGGGAACATTGCTTGGCTGCACTCCGCCAGCACCTGATAGATTCAGAACACCCTTTCGACGTTCACTGTTTGTTGAACAACTCAAGACATCAGATTCAGCTGTCTCATCCGGGTATGTCTCATGCTTTAGTCCTCCAGCAAGAAATTCTTGCATTAAACAAATCCTGACTTCCACATTGCACTTCAGTACAATTTCCATTGAATTTCTGATGCTGCTAATAAATCTTTGGGCTCGAAACTTTATATCATTGTCCTCAAATGCTATAAAAGCAACAATGGTACCTGAAATGAAGCATACCAAAATCAAGTTTGGGCAGATGAACAGCTGTGCACCAGGAAAGAACAAATAAGTGGCAAGAAAAAGGAAGAAAATTTCCTTGTTGCTCTCGTTTATTTATGAGTGTTCCTATTTGTATGCCACAGATTTTTCAAGCATAATTTACATGCTCAACATACAGATTTAGTCACAATTACGCATCAAATATGCTGAATCTGTCAAGAAGCAGGGTCAGTATTGTTGCTTGCACTGCCAGTGACTAAGAATGCCAAATTTGGATGTAAGCTAGAAGAATTGGAGACTTCAAGGTACCTAGACTTAAAGTTGCAATGAAAAATAAGCTTCTTCAAGAAAACATAGTAAGCAAAAGTTGATTTAGTAACTTAGAGTGAATGGCCCAATATAAATTGCCTTCCTATTACATCTTTCTTTTAAAGAACTAAGCTCGATACATCAACAAATAATTAGGTGGAATTCCTTTCCAGCCCGGTGTTTGAAACATATGTGCTCTAGTTCAATAAAACAATGAATGAATTTTATCGATTACATACATTACCATGGGCTAGTGTGTAACAATATGGTTAGTGTTTCTGCATCTTTCACCTAATTTGGACTTCGTATTCAGTATTTACCGATTCAACTAAGTACAGTTTGTCAAGCTATAGTGCAATTTCTGTTTTGAAGCTAAATGGCTACAAACGAAAAGCTGGAACCTGAACCTATGTGTTGACAACTCTGATGATTGCATTTATTTCGTCATGGAGTTGGGACCGCAAGCAAAAGATGTAATGTAACTGCATTCAGCTTTTGGGGCAGCTTAGTTACCAAGTTTTCACATATTGTAAAGTCAGGATCCAGAAATTCTCATTCTTGGTTTCTGACTCGAGCTTTAGGCCATCAAAGTTTTAAAATGATGCAGTGGAATTAAGATGCCCTACATGGTCAGGAAGCTCCAGCTCTAATCCAGTGGCCAGAAGTACTAGAGCAAACTTGTAACTGTAAGTTGTAAACGAAAGGCCTTAAAACATTAACATAGCTGGGACAAGAATGAGAATACAGTATATGCTTTACCTTCACATTCTTTGACAGATGCTAGTTTCCCATGATCATAGAGAAGCTGCCGCAATGTCTTGGAGTGGCAGTTCTCTATGCACTTCCTCCAAATTCGGGTAAGATTATCTGAGATTCCACTATTCATAGCCTTTTGCTCAGAAGAAATACTTATTTGAGCAGAATCCAATAATGTTCTATCAACAGACCTACACTCGCCATAAATCATGTTTTCATGGGGTCTCATCCTGGAGGACAATGAAGCAAGGCCCTGAGGACTAGAGTGCCCACTGGTTGTTTTCAGATCCACTATTTTCTTTGAATCAGGAAAAGTGGATAATTGATGAGATGTAGTCCTGCTTGCAGAGGATTCTCTCACTGCTTCCATCATGGTTTCGCTGGTTGCTTTAGCACATTGCTTACTGCTGCATTTTGATTGAGTTATTTCTGAATTATGACCAGAACCAAGCTGGAGTAAAGCAGCAGTGAACCATGTCGAACGCTCGCTTGAAAGTCTTATCTGCTTTTCAGCGTCAGAAAGAATCCTCAGTGCTTGTTGTAATCTTTCCAATTCAGCATCAGTTACTAAAGAATGCAGCAAACATGTTAGAACTTCAGAATTGAGATAATTCTTTCTTGTTTAGATCAACACACCTATATACACTGTATTTAAACATATTGTGGGACATGATCAAGGGGTGCACACATTTAAAAGCCATATGAGTCAGACCCTAAAACTAAAGATGTTAGATAATAAAACAAGTAAAACAGAGAGCACAGTATCCAACAAATATGATGCAAGTGGAAACAATTGTATTTCTCAATAAAAGTGTATTAAATTATGGTCATTGAAGGCATCCAGGCCTGCATTGATTCATGAGAAAAGTATTAATTATATTTAAAATGGTGGGCATGACTGCATAACTGTTGTGTTCTACATAAGTCCTTGAAAAATTCATCATCTCCTTAGCAAGAAAATTAAGTACTATCCAATCAGTGTATTTTCTTAGTATAAACATAAGCATTACAGCTCAATTGTCAATCCATTTCAGATTTTTTATAAAGGTGCTAAAACATCAAATATCACTATCTTAGTTTCATATGTTTACTGTTGCAATCAGACAAGCTAATAGTAGAGAAGCTGAATGTATCAGTTTACTTTGTGAGAATCACATTTACTAATGCAATTTCATAAGATCAACAAAGTTGTTAATCAACATCTTGATTCTAAAAGGAAAGATTTCATAAACATTTATCAAGCATTAGAATCTTAAGTACAGTGGGTTGTCTCCACAACAAAGGGGTGGAAACTCC